AAGATGGGCCAAAAAGGTTTGGTTCCCTCCTCAAAGGAGATGGAAGACAGTGAGGACGAAGACATGCCAGAAGATGAAAAAAAGAAGTTGTGGTCCCTCAGAAGGAGAGCAAGAAGGCTGTGGCTACGCTAGCAAAGAGAGTACCATGAGCCAAAAAAATTGTTGTCACCACACCTGCCAAGAAAGCACTCATGACTCCTGGTAAGAAGGCTGCTGGGAGGCCCTGCCAAGAGAGTGTCTACCCCAGCCAAAGCTGTCATCACACCAGGCAAGAAGGGAGCCACTCCAGCTAAAATAGCAGCCACCCAGCTGAAGCACCAGCCCTCCCCCCACCCCAACCAAAGGGGCAAAAAATTAGGAAGAATGCCAATAAAAAAGAGAGTGAATCTGAAAAGCACAGCGTAGGTAAGGAAGATGAAGAAGCTAAGCCACTCAAAGCCAAAAGATGGGAGCAGCTCCAACCAAACAAGATTCTGAGGAGGAAGAGGACGAGGAGGAAGAAAATGGTGAGGAGGATACAGAAGATGAGGATGACATTGAAGAAGAAGCTACAGACACCCCGCCTGGCAAAGGGAAGGCTGCTTCTGGGAGAGCTGCCCCTGGGAGAGCTGGGAGAGCCGAGGAATCCAAGAAGAAAGGTGAAGAGGAGGAGGAGGAAGTGCCTGTCAAAGAAGTGCCAGGGAGGAGGAGGAAGGAAATGGACAAACAGAACATCCCTGAAGCCAGGAAACAGAATTTGGAAGCTGAAGCTTCTACAAATTGCAATCTCTTCACTGGTCACATGAACTTCAACAAAACCATTTCTGAGCTCTCATGGATGTCTTTGCAGAAAGGACCTTAACAGTTGTGGGCATCCAAATTGGTGCCACCAGGAAGTTTTGGCTAGGAGGAATTTAAACCCACTAAAGATATGGAAAAATCTCTGGAACTCAGTGACTTCGAAGTGCTTGGCTCTGAAATGAGATTGGAAAAAGGAAAGAAAAAGATCTAAATGCAAGGATGCTCTTCATCAAGAATCTGCCTTATAGGGGGCAGCTAGGTGGCAGAGTGGATAGAGCATTAGTCCTGGAATGGGGAGGACCTGAGTTCAAATCTGGCATCAGACACATAACACTCACTAGCTGTGTGACTCTGGGCAAGTCACTTAACCCCAATTGCCTAAAAAATAAAAAATAAAAGAATCTGTCTTATAAAGTAACTCGGAAGGTCCTCAAGGAAGGGTTTGAAAATGCTATTGAGGTCAGGCTGGTCTGCACAAAGGATGGGACACCCAAAGGAATCATCTATGTTAAATTCAAGACAGAAGCAGATGTGATTAAGGCCTTGAAAGAGAAACATGGATCAATGGTCGGGCACTCATTATGGACTACACAGGAGAGAAAAGTGAAGGACAAGAGAATCTGAGAGATGGAAAGAAGAATTCCTAGAGTCAGAATAATAGCAAGCCGGCAGACTCACTGAATAACCTCACCTGCAGCAGCTTTGAAGGCTGAGGGTCATGGCAGCAGTCATGGAGGCATCAGTGGAAATTGTTAAGGCACTCCAAGAATGATGTAGGGAGAGAGAGCGTTGGTTTTAACTGGATGCATGTTTCATAAACTTTTCGTAGAGACTAGTGATAGATGTGGGAGTTAACCTTTTTGCCTATGAATTGTTTTGAGTTTATAATGTTATACCCCATGTCCAAAACCACATATTTTCAGAAAGAAAGAAAGAGGGAGAGAAAGAAAGAGAGAGAGAGAGAGAGAGAGAGAGAAAGAGAAAGAGAGAGAGAGAGAGAGAAAGAAAGAAAGAAAGAAAGAAAGAAAGAAAGAAAGAAAGAAAGAAAGAAAGAAAGAAAGAAAGAAAGAAAGAAAGAAAGAAAGAAAGAAAGAAAGAAAGATCTAGGCATGTTTGTAGAAGCAGGGAATGAAGAAAGACTGGAGATTAGAAAGGCAAAAAGGATGATGAAAGAGCAAGCTGCCAGAGGAGACAGTAGATGGGAGCAAGGACTCAAATAAAGGGGTTGGCCTTGACCAGGAAAAAGCATCATTTCTTCTTCTGAGAATGGACTAAGGGGGATGAATGAGGATGCTGAAGGAATAGAAAGTGGAGAATCGGAGAGAGCTCATGAAGGAGTGGCCTCAATTTTTCGTGAAATATGAGACAAGGTCTTCTGTTGGGAAGAAAAGAGAAGGCCTGGGACAGACACCATGGAGAGTGCAAGAGGAAGTCAGTCAGAGAAGAATAAAAGGTGTGCTATGAAAGAGCAAAGACCCAGGAGAAAATTGGTAGCAGACTGCATCAGAACAGCTGTGTGACTGACATCCTCCAAGAACACTCAGCAGAGCTCAAGAAGGAGCAAAATAGACAGATGATGGGGGCAATCCAGCATGGGCATCTGGAAAGGAATGAGTGGTAGTAGACAAGAGAGAAATGAGCTTACGGATAGGGAAAATCATGAATCGAATTTGTTCTCCATAGCAACAAGATTTCAAAAGGAAAAAATTGGGCCAGAGCAAGGTGGCAGACCAGGAAGGAGGAAGGAGATAGAGCAAAGGTTGTGGTGAGAACAAAGAATAAGGGGGGGGGGGGGAGACTAAGACATTTAGCAGACCATTCCAAATAGGAGAATTTCTGGAATTGTGGAAATGGACCATTTGTGGGTGATCATGAGCCCAAAGGAATGATTTTGGGGGCAAAAGTAGAGTGAAGGTACAAATCATGGGAGTTGAGAAGGTTGATGAACTGGGATATTTGAAAGGACATCAATAGGAATATTGAGTACTAAAGGAAGGAGAAATTGCTATTCAAGGCAGTCACTATGGAGGATTATGCTCTAAATGATGGGAAGAAACTGGACAAATAGGAGTGTTGGACTAGGAGGGGATGGAGACAGCAAAGGCATTCCAGGAAGGAGGAATAATGTAAGTGGAGGTTTAGGAATTAGAATAATGGTAGAAAAGGATCCCTCATTGTCCTGGCACTGATCTCATCTATAGGGTAGCCTCCATAGGACACCTGGCCTTTTCCCAGCAAGGGGAGCAAGAAGATGTAGTCTGCCTTTGTTGAGATGGTGGAATTTCCCAGAAAAGAGGATAGCAGAAAGCCCCAAGGTTATTGAAGCAGAATATCTCTTGGGAGCAGGCACTGGAAAGCTCTAGGAAGGGCATAGCACAGAACCAGCATGGGATGCCCCAAACCAGATCTTCCTTACGGGGACCATTCTGTGTGAGACATCTCTTACCACTTCTCAATAGCATTCTGGCCAGACACAGGTGCCCCATGTCCCAGCCTAGCCCACTCAATTGATGAATTAGAGCCAGGTGGGCATTTGATGGATCCCAAGACCCCAGCTAGGTAATGCAGTTCTATCTTCATATGTCTTGCATGCATCTCTGCCACCCAGGTCACTAACAGATTCATAGAGTGCCAAAGGTAAGAGCTGGCCTTAAAACAGAGAAGGTCAGAGCTGGGAGGTCCCTCAGAACACAGAAGGTCAGAGCTGGGAGGTCCCTTAGAACACAGAAGGTCAGAAGCTGGGAGGGCCCTTAGAACACAGAAGGTCAGAGCTGGGAGGGCCCTTAGAACACAGAAGGTCAGAGCTGGGAGAGGCCTTAGAACTAGAAGCAATCTTAGAATATACAATGTCAAGCTAGAAGAAATTTTGAAACATAGAAAGTCAGAGTTGAAACAGACCTTAGAATAAATTGCCAAAAGGGACCTTAGAAGATGGTGTTAGAGCTGGAAAAGGCCTTAGAACATGGTATATCCTAACTAGAAAGGAACTTAAAACAGAATGTCATAGCTAGGAGAGACTTTAGAACATAGAATGCCAGCGATGAAAGGGACCTTAGACAGCCTAATTTAACCCCTTCCACTCTTACCCTACCTAGAAGCAACTAGCACTGGGCCTAGAATCAAGAAATCTGGCCTCAGATACTCACTAGGTTTGTGACCCTGGGTAAGTCACTTAATCTCTGTCTGCCTCCATTTCTTCAGCTGTAAAATTAAGATCATAATAGCACCCTTCTTGCAGAGTTGTCATGAGGATCAAATGATATAATATTTGTCAAGTGCTTAGCACAAGCCTGGCACATGTTAGGGCTTAATAAATGACTTTCCTTCCTTCCTCCTACCTCATCCCACCCACAATGTTGTAGATGAAGAAGGAAATCCAGGGGAAGTGACTTGACCAAAGTCACAATCTGCCCTGCAAACTTGAGTCATAACTCAAACACAAGTCTTTGGGCCCGAGATCCAGTGCCTTTTCTACTGCGATGCCGTGACTTTTCAAAACCTTTCAAGCGGATGTGCCAAGGTTCTGACGTTTGTTTATCAGGAATGTTGGGGGCAGATCAACTGGGGAGTGGCGGAGAGAGTCTGCCAACTATATAAAAAAGAGAGAAAGTAACGTCACCTCAGGTTGGTAAGGGAAAAACCATTAGTGTGCCAACTGTCTCAGGGAGAAATAGAAGTAGGTCATACCTTCTGGACAGTCTTCCTCCCCTCCCTGTCCCTTGGAGTTTTCATCTATAAAATGAGGACATTAGACTGGATGGTTTCTGGTGTCCTTTCCAGCTCACACATTCTATGCTCTGAAATCACTGCCAGGTCTAAAGTTCAACTCAATCCAAATTAAGTCAATTCAACAAACACTTAGTGAATTGAATTCTATGTTCTATCATTCTATATTCTGAAGTCCCTTTCACTTCTAACATGTTATGTTCTAAGGTCCCTTTAAATTCTGACATTCTATAGGCTGCTTCCAACTTCGGTGAGAAAATGTCATTGGGAAAGGATCTAGAAAAGAGGGGCCTTAAGCCAAACAGGAAGAGGTGCTTGGAGTAGTAGGGATTAGTGAAGAAGACCTGGGGTTGGGTTTGAACAGGAGAGATTTGGCAAGATTTGGGAGAAATTGAAGAAAATTTGGAGAACCAAATCATAGTTCTGGTGCAAGAAAGCAAGATGGAAGATAATACAAGAAGATATAAAAGGATTAAGGAGGATAGAGGAGTGGTGGAACCTAGAGTGATAAGCTCAAGCAAGAAAAGGAGAAAATAGCAAGTCAAGTCAAGGCCACTCAAAGAAAAGGTGAGTGGGACAAATAAAGGGTTAGGTAAACTGATAGAATGGATTGGTGGGTGGGGCAAACTGGTATAAAATAAGTTTTAACTTAATAATAATAATAATAATTGGCTTTTCTAAAAAAAAAATAAGTTTTAACCAGGTGTTCAGGGTTAAGGTATAAACACTTGTGAGTGGTTTCAAAAAGCGAGACTGAAAATGATAATCATTATGGGTTAGGGAAAATTGTACAGTCACTTAAATCAAGTATTATCTTTTGTTTGTCACCAGTCAATTGACTATTATCTGTATTCCAAGTGTAGTATGATCTCCCTCTTAGAAGAACTGGTGAAGGGCTATTTAAAAAAACAAAAACAAAAACACCTCTACACATACTAGAGGTTGTTAGGGAGATTGAAGGGCTTCTAAAGGAAAATGGAAGCAAGGCTTTACTTTAGAGGAAAGGCAGGTTCTGGAGTGGGTAAAAGGATACTTGACCCTCATTTGGATTATAAAAAGTGGAAGAACATTACACAGAGGAGAAAGGGAAGGAAAAAACCTTCTGTACAATTACAGTTTCATAGCTGATTTGAGGCTCTTCCTAAAGAGGAGAGAGGATGATACGAGGAGGATAAAGAAGCTGCTTGTCCTCCCAAGAATGATAGAAGCACAGATGCTATCAGTTGTGAGATAAGGGCACATGTGAAGAAGACTAGGGGGCAGAAGAAAATGAAAGGAATAGCAGTTGGTGATTTCCCACTCAAAAATGGCGACCCAGCTATTGGCTGAGCCCAAAACACCAAGAGACCTACTGGGGCCATGTCTATATCCAAGACATGAGAGAGAATATTCTAAGCCTTATCAAAAATAACAACTACTCCTTTCTGGTGACTCACATGGACTCAAATGACACTTCCAGAAGGATCCTTAAAAGAATGGCCAATTACTACAAAGTCTTAGGCAAAAAAAATAAAGACTCTAAGGGCATAGGATGTACTTTTTTTACTTTTGCCCACTGTAGGCAAAGGACGTAGAACAGAAAATTTGATTTGGGAAGTATACAGCTGGCTAAAGAGGTGGTGGGTATGAATGGGATTTGGTTTTCTGGTTACTATATGCAGTTGATAGATTCCTGGCTAGAGAGAGAGTCACCTAACAAAGGTTGGTAAGAATGTATTTGTTAGGTGTGTTGCAAATCTATTCAAAAGGGCTTAAGCTAAAAAAGATGGACGAGGAAGAAGACACCCTATGAATTGGAACTGGGACACCCACAAATTGGATAAGCAAGGATCCAGTAGTAAAACCCATAGCCTTCTGTGTCTATACACGAATATCGAAAGTTTAAGCATCAAATACAAGGGATCAAAGGTCCCAACAAAAAGGTACAAATTGGATCTTATGGATATCACTGAGATCAAACAATCAATAAACAAATATTAAGTACCTACTATGTGCCAGGGACTGTGCCAAGCACTGGGTTTACAAAAAGAGGCAAAACACAGGCTCCGCCCTCGAGGGGATTACAGTCTAATGGAGGAAACAATATGCACACAAGCTCTATGAAAGATAAATAACAAAGGGAAGGCACTAGAATTAAGAGGAGTTGGGGAAGTCTTCCAGTAAAAGACGGGATTTTATTTGGGACTTAAAGGAAACCTGGAAAGTCAATAGGTGGAGCAAAGGAGGGAAAGCGTTGCAAGCATGGGGGACAGCCAGAGAAAATGCCAGAAGCCAAGAGAGGGAGTACCTTGTTCATGGAACAGCCAGGAGGCTAGTGTCTCTACATCAAAGACTCCACATCGAAGAGAAAGAAATAAGAAGCTTGGAAAGGCAGAAAGGGGTTAGGCTATGAATGGCTTTGAATGTAAAACAGAGGATGTTTTTATTTGAGCCTGGAAGTTTATTGACGCAATCATACACAAGCTTTCGGAAAATCACTTTAGAGACTGAACGGAGGATAGATTGGAGTGAAGAGAGACTTGAGGCAGGCAGACTCAACCAGCAGGCTACTGGAGATGTAGGGGAATGAGACCCACGACTTGACTGTGGCTCTGGGTGGCTATACTTTACTAAAAAGATACAGGATAGGCAAAAGGGGAAAAAACGTATGTGTAAAGTGCTTTGCAAACCTTACAATGCTATGCAGATGCTAGTTATTATTGTTCTCGTTGTTGTTATATTAAGGAACAAGAGCAAGGAAGCATGATGAAGGGTGTTTGAGTCAAGGTCGAAGGAGGGAGTAGCAAAAGTGATTTTGTTATCACTACCAACCATATGAATAGAAAGAAGAAATGGAGGAAGAGTTTGGGAAATAGGTCACAAATCTGGCTCAGGGGTATGATATAGTGGTGACAGGCAACTCCAGTTATCCGAACATCTGCTGGAGCTCCTTCTGCCAAATGCAGAGTAGCTAATCACTTCTTAACCCAAGGGGAAATTCTATTCCATATCTGAGTCTCATTAACAAGGAGGAACCACTTCCTGGGGTAGAAATGACAGGAACATGGAAAAAAAAAAAAAAGAAGTGATGTAACATGGCAGGAGGCAGGAGGGAAAGGTAGAAAGAAGTGAGCACACCATCCTAGAATCTGTGATAGGTAGCAAAAAGAAATCTGGACATAATAATCTAACATGCACTTGGGATCTGGAGAAAAGAAATGTCAAAAAGTGCAGAGGAAAGATAGAAGCCCATGAAATAAAATACTCCAGGAGAAATCAGCCTAGGAGGGATGGGAGATACTCAAGAATAAAACTATAAAAATACAAAGAAAAACACTTCCAATGAGGAAGAAAAAAACAGGATTGTCTGAAGAGACTAGCCAATGTGCACGCAGAGACTAGCCAGTGTGGATGCATAGAGACTAGCTGGTGTGGGTGTACAGGGAGTTCATCCATCAACTTAGATTTTAGAAAGATGTGTCAAAGGTAGAAGCAAAGCCAGGTAATAGATGATGAATATTCATAGGACAGCCCTGTAAAAATAGTATCAGGAATCCTAAAGCTCAGAATTAGTGGAGCCTGGAAAGGGAAGCTAAGAATAACCAAAAAGGATTTTTTTTAAAGCTGTGTTGAGGGGCAGCTAGGTGGCGCAGTAGATAGAACACCAGCCTTGGAGTCAGGAGGACCTGAGTTCAAATTTGGTCAGACACTTGACACTTACTAGCTGTGTGACCCTGGGCAAGTCATTTAACCCAATTGCCTCACCAAAAAAAAAAAAAATTACATTGAAAGGAGAAAGAGGCTCGAGGAAGGGAGAAGACCTATGTTTGTAGTGGACACGTTGATGATAACTTATGATGGAGGGGAGATAGAGCTCCTTAGTCCTTATTTCCCTTCTGTTTTCTCTTCCAAAGAGAATGGCTTTCCAGTCACAAAATCTGTCATTGGACATGCCAGTTCAAAAGGGACTCACAGAGAATTGATACCCAAGATAAGGAAGGAGATAGTGAGAGATGCCCTTTCTGCTCTGGATGAATCAATTGACCTGGAATGTGGTGGCTGCAGTTTACCTGGATTTTAGCAAAGGTTTTGACAAAGTGGCTTATGCTATTCTTATGGAGCAGATGGAGAGGTAAGAGTAAATCATAATATAATTAGATGGATTCATAACTGGTTAGATGGTCAGTCTCAAAGAGTGGCTGCTAATGGTTCAATGTTTACATGGCAGAAGCTCTTTTATGGAGTGCCTCAAGGATCTGTGTTGGCTCTATGATGTTTAACATTTTTATCCATGACTTGGAAAAAAAGGGGCAGATAGATGGCTGAGTGGATAAAGCGTTGGGCCTGCAGTCGGGAATATCTGAGTTCAAATCCAGCCTCAGACACTTACCAGCTGTGTGACCTTGGGAAAATCGTTTAATCTTTACTTGTCTTAGTCCACTGGAGAAGGAAATGGCAAACTACTCCAGTATCTTTGCCCAAAATAACCCTATGGACAGTGGGGTCCATAGGTCACAAAGAGTCAGACATGACTGAACAAATGAAAAAAAGGGATAGACGGCATGTTTATCAGTTCTGCACATGACCCAAAGCTGAGAGGAGTAGATAACACAATGGATGGCAGAGGCGGCATCCCAAAAGGATCGTAACAGACAGGGCATTGGGCCAAATCTAAGAGAATGAAATGCAACGGGGATAAAAGTAAAGCTTTACACTCAAGTACAAAAAAATCAACTTCACAGGCACAAGGTGGGGAAGGCATGACTAAACAGCAGTTGTTCTGAAATAGATCTGGGGGTTTTAGTGGACCACAAGCTCAATATGAGTCAGCAGTGTGATAGGGAATCCCAAAAAGTTAATGTGACCTTGAGTTGCATTGAGAGGCAAAGCTTTCAGGAATCAGGAGGTGAGGGTCCTGTTGTATGGTGCTCTCCAAGATCTGGAGTATTGTGTTCAGCTGGGGACATGATAGTTAGAGAAGACACTTAGAAGCTGGGGAGAATTCATAGCCAGGACAACAAAAGACCTCAAGTTTATGCCATCTAAGGATTGAATGGGGATGTTTAACTTGGGGAAGAGAAGACTAAGGCATGCAGGAGAGCAGTGTTCAAGGATCTATTATTTAGAAGAGGAATTAGAATTGTTCTTTTTGCTGCTAGTGGACAGTTCCAGGAACAATGGGTGAAAGCCACAAATGTAGGCTTGACAGCAGGAAAAAATGCCTAACAAACATCGTTGAGTTTTCTTGGCAAAGATATTGGAGTGGTTTGCCATTTCCTTCTCATTTTATAGATGAGGAAACTAAGGTAAACAGGGTAAAGTGACTTACCCAGGGTCACACAACTAGTAAGTATCTGAGGCTGGATTTGAACTCAGGTCCTTCTGACTCTAGGGCCAGTGCTCTATCCACTGCACCACCAAGCTGCTCTCCTAACAATGAGAGCTGTCCAAAAGTGGAATGGGCTGCTTTGGGAGGTAACCTCCTCCTGCATGTATGTCTTCAAACAAAGGCTGGAGGTACACTTCTCAGGGAAGTTACGGTGGGGATTAATGTCATGTATGGGTTGTAGTAGATGGCTACTAATGTCCCTTCCAACTCTCAGATTCTGTGATTATTGTTCCAGCTCTAATGCTTGTATTCTAACATCCATCTGATACTCTCTTTTCTAAAGCTCCTTCCAGTTCTAACAGCCTGTGTTCTAAGGGCCTTCTAGATCTGGCATTCTATTCTCCTTCATGGTTTGACATTCTCTGTTCTAAGAACCCTCCCAGCTCTGACTTTCTCAGTTCTAAGATCCCTCCCAGTTCTGACATTCTATGGTCTAAGTTCTCTCCTAGCTCTGTCATTCATATATGCTATATTCTTTGTTCTTTCCCCCTTCCAGCCTTTACAATCTATGTCCTGTGATGCCTCCCAGCTCTGACATTGTATGTGCTAAGAGCATCCCCACCTTCTGCATCACCCCCCACCCAGCTATGTGATTCTAGCATTCTCTGAAAACTGTGTTAGACCCCTCTCACAATCACAAGGGGAAAAGGAGACATGGTGGTGACAACCCACTCTTCCACTAATGAAAGTCAAGCTGGGTGCTGACAAGGCTTGCCCAATCATAGTTCTAATTTACTGAGCTAACAGATGACTTCACTTCCTAAACAGGGAGCTACCTCACCTGACTCAACTCATTACCCATTGGAGCACCCCTGGTGAATAGACACAGGTAAATATTATCCTTCAGCCTGGATCAACAGCTTCCAGGTAATCTTTTCCCAAACAGATGTGGCCATACTGGCCTTACCTCACCAGTTTGTTTAACAATCTCATACAATGCCTATCAAAACAATTAACTGAGCAATTTAAATAACTAGCACCATAAACGTTCCACCTCCCATGCTAAAAGGAATTCCCCAGGCTAGCGGCTTCCAAGAGAAAAACCTCAGTCGACTCATCCCAGCAACATAAGAGTCGCTTTCAATTCTCTCCATCCAGAGTGAGGTACTTTCCAGAGAAGTAAATGCTGTCCAGCAGCTCCAGGAGGATACCACCGTAAGTTGGGCAGCCAATGCCTTGGGGCCTCAGTCACAGTATCACAGGATTCAGGGCTGAAAAGGCCCTTACAGATTCTGCAAGCAGAGCCTACCCTGTGGGAAAAGCACAGGCTTGGAGACTGGAGTCCTAGGTTCAGATCCCAGCTCTGACGCTGTGTGACCTTGAGCGAGCCCCTCCCCCTCATCAAGTCTCACTAATGAAGATAATAACCTATAGCCTAACTCACAGGACTGTGGGGAAGAAAGCACTTGGCAAACTTCAAAGCACTATGAAAGTCAGAGTCAGCGTGATCTTTCTGCCTATGAATGTGGTTTTCTGAGCACAAGCAACGGTGATCCCCTTTCTTTTCTCTTCTTGGTGTGGAATTGGGAATCCAAGGAACCAGGTTCGAATCCAAACCACTACTCACTAACTGAGATCTTGGGCTACTCTATCTCTCTCTGGGCCTCAATTTCCTCATCTGTCAAATAAGGGTATTTGATTAGATGATTTCTAAGGCCCAAAAAGTTGACGTTCTGTAATCTAAGGTCTCTTTCACCTCTGACAATTTGTGTTCTAAAGTCTCCCCCAGCTCTGACATTCTGTGTCCTATGGAACCTCCTAGATCTAATGTTCTATTACCTAGGGACCCTCCCAGCTCTGACATCCTGTGTTCTAAGGACCCTCCCAGCTCTGACATTCTGTGTTCTAAGGACCCTCCCAGTTCTGACATTCTGTAGGTTCTAAGGGCTCTCCCAGCTCTGACATTCTGTGTTCTAAGGGCTCTCCCAGCTCTGACAACCTGTGTTCTAAGGACCCTCCCAGCTCTGACACTCTGTGTTCTAAGGGCCCTCCCAGCTCTGACACTCTGTTCTAAGGGCGCTCCCAGCTCTGACACTCTGTTCTAAGGGCGCTCCCAGCTCTGACATCCTGTGTTCTAAGGGCCTCCACAGTATTAGTATCCTATGATCCTACAGTCTTTGAAGTGACAGAGAACCCTGCTCCAAGAGTATCCAGCCACAAGTAAGTCCATTGTAACTGACTTTGTAGAGTAGGTCCTCATGTTCTGACCTGCCCCTCTGGTTCAAAGGGTTACTAATAGCGGCAGATACTTATCTAATGTAGCAACACAAAGCACTTTCCTAACATTATTTCACTGGATGCTCACAACAATCCTGTTATCATTATCCCTGTTTCACAAAGGAGGAAACTGAGGCTGAGAAACATTAAGTGCCTGGTTCAGGGTCAGACAATTAGTAGGTGGTCAAGGCAGGATTTGCACCCAGGTCTCCCTGATTCAAAGTCCAGCACTCTGTCTCTATCTCTGTAGATAAGGAACTAAGGCTAGGGCAGGGCTTTGGGGTGAATTCCATGGCCACAGGCAGAGGCATACTCAGTATGATGCCCAGCCATCCCTATAACTAGCATCGGTAGAAAGCTTCATGGATTACAAAGCAATTTTATATCCACTGTCTCATGTGATCCACACAGCAGCTTTGTGTGGTAAAGATTCCAAATATTAATCTGTCATTTTGCAGATGGGGAAACTGAGGCCGCAGGAGATGAAGTGACTTGAACACAATCACATAAGTTAATGGTGAGCCAGGGCAGCTAGGTGGAACACTGGGCTTCGAATGAGCAAGGCTCATCTTCCTAAGTTCAAGTCTGGCCTCAGACACTTACTAGCCGTGTGACCCTGGGCAAGTCACTTCATCCTGTTTGCCTCAGTTTCCTCAGCTGTAAAATGAGCTGGAGAAGAAAGTGGCAAACCACTCCAGTATCTTTGCCAAGAAAACCCCAAATGGGGTCCTGAAGAGGCAGACGTGAATAAAATGACTGAACAACAACGATGCCAGGACTTGAACCCATGTCTCCTATTACCAAACCCTACACTTACCTCTTCCCATTCACAAGGGGAATAAAAAAGAGACTGTGATCCCAGGGAACTGGTTGAACCCAGTGGGTAAACATTCTTTGGGGTTTTATTGGAGACCAGAAGGCATATCCTAACCAGAATGGCTCATGCCAGACTTCTGACCAGCAGGCAGTCTTCTTCTGTAGCTGCCAGCTCAGAAAGGCCAAATGAAGACTCTCTCTCAAAGCCAATGGTCAGCAAGCTGTAAAAGATCCACTCAGCTGCACAGCCTTAAGGGATGGGCCCTGTGGATCTCTTGTCGAGGACCAGAGACTCACCCTCAGGCTGACTAAGTGAAGACTCTATCACCCACAGCCTCCCATTAGTTTAAACCGTGGATGACTTTATAGCATAGGGCAAAATCACAGATCCTTGAAGTTTTAAGGTATTACTTCAGGGGTTACTTTAACTTGTAATCATTACAATAATAATAGCTAGCATTTACAGAGCACTTCATACATAATGATGGATCAATTTGATTAATAATCGATATCATTTGATCCTTACAACAATCCTATGAGGTGAAGTACTATTTTTAATCCTCATTTTACAGATGGTGAAACTGAGGTACCAAGAGGTTAAGGGCTCAGGGTCATACAGTGAGCAAGTTTCTGAGGCAAGATTTGAACTCAGCTCTTCCTAATTCCAAGTCCAGCACTCTAGACACTGCACACCCAACGTTGGATGCTAAGGAGGGTGGGAAGGACAAGTTTGGGAGCCATGTGGTGAGGCCCCAGGCCAGAACTGACTTCTAGACACCAGGTTAAGGAGCCAAGCTGACCCCTGGACTCGGGAAAAGCCAGGACGTAGTCCTCGCTCTAGCACTAATTCCCTTGGCAGCCTTGAGAGAGCGGTTCAATCTCTCAAGGCCTCAGTTTTCTTATCTGTAAGAAAGAGGGAATCAGATTATGTAAAATAACTTCTGACTCTAATATGCTCTAGGATGTGCCCATTCTAGAGCTGGCCCACTGTAGACATGTCCAAAGGAAGGTGACCAGGGCAGTAGAGGATCTGAACACCAAGTCATGTGAATAACAGTGTGAAGAATGATGTGAGCAGGGCAGGGGCTCTCTTTTGCCTTTATTTGTATGAACCCAGTGAGTGGCACATAGTAGGCACTTCATAAATGTTTATTGACTGGCTAGTTGACAGAAGCAGGATCACAGAATGAGAGATTTAGAGGCAGAAAGAGATCAGAGGTTATCTGTGACTATAAAATCCATGAGGGCAGGAACAGCATGGTAGAAAGAGCATTGGGTTTGGAATCAATTGTGTATTTGGAAAAAACAAACCAACTTATGACCATGAGAGCTGTCAAATAATGAAATGGATTACCTCCCAAGGAAATGAGCTCCCCACTACTGGAAGGGCTCAAACAGCTGTTTAAGATGACATGTTGTTAATGTTTCAGTAATGTCTGACTCTCTGTGACCCCATTTGGGGTTTTCTTGGCAAAGATACTGGAGTGGTTTGCCATTTCCTTCTCCAGTTCATTTTACAGAAAAGAAAACTGAGGCAAATAGAGTTAAGTGATTTGCCCAGGGTCACACAGCTAGTAAGTGTCTGAGACTGGATATGAACTCAGGTCTTCCTGACGAGAGAGAGAGAGGCTGGACCTCCTTCCTGTCCCAGTGAAGCAATGGTGGAGGTGAAGAAGAATGTCCCCAATACTTCTGTAGCATTTTTTTAGGGTTTGCAAAGGTCTTGGTTCAACAGTCTTGACCATATGGGGACAATATGGTTTTCTTTGAAGCTCAGAGAGGTTAGATGACTTTCTTTGGGTCACACAGATCCTAAAGGTCAGAGGCAGGCTCCGTACCAAGGGTTCCTGGATCCAAAGCCAGTGTGCTTTCTATGATGCCAGCAGAGACAAGAGTGTTGGGATATTGTGTGGTGAAGGGCACTGGCCAGGGAGGCGAGAGAGCAGGGATATAATCTTGGCTCTTCCACTTTAATGAGTTTATCTCTCTCTCTCTGGAACTCAGTTTCCCCATCTGAAATGAGAGAGTTGGTTTAGATCAGAGGTTGTTAACTTGGAGTCTAAGGATCCTGAAGGAGTCCATGTTACCAGTGGATTTCAGGGAGGGAGAAATGAAAATTACGTCTCTATTTTCACTGCATGACAACTTCCATGGTAGCCCTATCAATTTTATTTAACGCATTTAAAAATAAATTATTCTGAGAAGGGGTCCATAACACAAGAATTGGTTAAGAAGGATCCAGATATTCTCTAACTTTTTATTTTCTAAGAGCCCTCCCAGCTCTGACATCCTGCATTCCAAGGGCCCTTCCAACTCTGACACCCTGTGTTCCAAAAGCCCTCCCAACCCTAACATCTTGTGTTCTAAGGGCCCTCCCAGCTCTGACATCCTGTATTCTAAGGGCCCTCCCAGCTCTGACATCCTGTGTTCTAAGGGCCCTCCCAGCTCTGACATCTTGTGTTCTAAGGGCCCTCCCAGCTCTGACATTCTCTGTTCTAAGGGCCCTCCCAGCTCTGACATTCCTGTGTTCTAAGGCCCTCCCAGCTCTGACATCCTGTGTTCTAAGGGCCCTCCCAGCTCTGACATTCTCTGTTCTAAGGGCCCTCCCAGCTCTGACATTCTCTGTTCTAAGAGCCCTCCCAGCCCTGACATTCTGTGTTCTACGGGCCCTCCCAGCCCTGACATTCTGTGTTCTAAGAGCCCTCCCAGCTCTGACATCTTGTGTTCTAAGGGCCCTCCCAGCTGTGACATCCAGGCCCAGTGCTCCATCCATTGCACCACCAAGCTGCCCAAAGA